TTGCTTCTGGTTGAGGAGCTAGTGTCACTTGCAAGAGCACACACCAACTGCAGATGTTTCCTCAGCCTGGCGAAGGGTTTCTAACCCTGAAAGCTTGCTAAGAAAAACTTTTCCAACTATTTAAGTTGGTCTAATAAAAGATATTGGATTCACTCAAAGAATCTTGTCAGCCAGGAAACTAAGTTTATTGAACAGACTTAGCGTTTTCCCTGTTATCCTTCACACAGGTGCCCTTCACACCCAAGCCAGCTGTTCCACCCCTCATTCCCAAAATGCTTATTTGAATGCAGAGTCCTCTACAAGATGCTGCCTTGAAAAACACATTAGGAGTGTATTTGGCAGAGTAGTAAACCCCAAGTGGATATCAGTGGGGGTACCGCGTGGACCCTGAACAAGCACCTCAAGCAGTCGATCATTGAGTTGTCTGTTTAACTTGTACATCTCAGCTTGGTTCCCCGCTCTGTTCTCCCAGGAGGCAAAAGTACCTGGCAGTTCAGGCTTTGTAGGGCATAGCGAGTCTGATTTTTATATCAAGGAGTAGATAGTCATATATGCAAGGTGAGACCTTTACTCTCCCCGCACCCACAAAAAAAACCATTGTAATATATGAGTCTGTTACAGGAGGGTGAATGCTTTTGACTCCGCTCCCTCTCTACCTTCCCTAGACCGCTTTCAAATAAATTTGCTGCTATTTATTAACTAGCTTCAGGGCCCATCTTACGTTGTCAGTAAATCATGGGTTACTTGTCATCATTTTGTAGGCCAAGTCTTATATTTACAGTTTAGTGTCCATGCTGTGTTTGTTTTTGGTGAACTTTTCCACATTTTCAGTGGCGCTGAGCTGTGCTCCATTGCATGATATGACAGATGTATGTGTCTGGAGCCTTGTGCTTCTCTCTTTTGCTTTAAAAATAGGTTAATGTATGCTGCATATGCTTTTTCTGCTGAACTTCTTCAGTCAGTAACAGTTTTATGTGTTGGCATGCACATCTACAGAACTTGGCCTTTACAACTATTATTTATAAACACACTTTATTCAGTGTCAAATGTGGTATTGCTCAGTGAGGACCAAGTTTGTGGCTGACAAAAATCTAGGGTTTTTTTTGTTTTTTGTTTTAAACCTGAATACCAAGGGGCTAATCTGAAGTCACTGGATAGACTCTTTGACTTCAGTGGGGTTTAGATCAGGCCCCAAGAAAGCAACTGACATGTCTTAACTGGTTTAAAAATGACAGTTTCCTCAACAACAACAAAGGGCGAACTCCGTTGTACCCCCGGATCCCCATTTTGTGGTTTGTTGCTTTGAAAACCACTGAACAGAACTTTCTCAAGCTCTTCTTGGGGGGAGGACATGCATGACTAATTTCAGGCCAAAGACTAACTTTTGAGTGATTTATGTGTGTTTTAAAACCAGGTATAAAATACATTCTAATCCAGAAAAGTTGCTATAGCAGCACTAATACTATAATGGGACATTTAATTTTTATATTAAAGCAGAGGAAACACTTTGCAGATTGGAGAGACACAATTAAATTGAAACATTTTTTTTTGGTATTTAAAACTTCTCTGTTAAAAAAAAAAAA